TTATTATTATTATCAATATTGCGTGTATTGGGTTTTTTAAATTTGTATTTGTTTTGTTTATTTTTGCCGCTTTGCTGCAACGCTATGCCATATATACTCAAAGCAAAACATTTTGGAAATTCCAATGAGTTGAATATTAGAGGTCGGCATGAAGGAATGGTGGCATTTTTTCCATCTTTATTTAAGACGTCTTTTGTCCAGCCTTCTTTTGGACTAGTCCGTTGGTCAAACGCCGGCTTATCAAATTACTTAAGTGTAGGGCGTTAAGCAAAGAGAATAGAAAAAAGGTCGAAAAGACGATCAAAAACGACTTTCATGAGTTTTTTGGGTTTTTTTGGAGGGGGGGGGTTACCGGTGTCTGTTGTTTAGTGGTTGGGCCTTTAGCTGTTGCACGCAGAAGACCGCAGCTCAATTCCCAAGGGAAGGGGGAGGAGAGAGAAGTTTTGTCAAGTATCTCCTCTCGTCTGCCTGCTGGGACCTTGTATAATAAATATTAAGTCTCTCGGCATGGGTTGACCTTGACAGGTAGATCTAGGGTCGAAGCCCACCTCCTGTAAATTGTGTTGATGGGGACGTAAAAACACCTACTCGAATTATTTTTTAGATAGTTTTAGTAAAGGTTTTACGGCGCTTGCAACTGCCTAAAGTCATATGAGCGCCTAGGGGTGGATGTCAACAGAGAAATCCTTACAGAGAATCAGACTTACTCTGCTCAGGGAAAATGACGATAGTAAGGATTAGGGGAAAAAAAGCAGCAGTTCCCTGTTTCACTTCAGGCACAGTTATGAGCATGACATCGATGAATTAGCCCACTTACAATTCTACTGTGCATAAGAACAGGTTATTGTCCCCCCTTTGGGAATGGCCTAAAGACACTTCAGTCAGTAGTACCACCGCGGTGGTAATACATTACGAACATTTTAAAAGTACAATCTGTTAGTCGAGCCAAGCGCTAGTATTCTAAATGACTGCTTGCGTCTGGTAGAGCACTAAGGGCATAGGAGACAAGTGAAAAGATGAAAGAAAATGAGTTTCACCAAACCAAATTTCTTTTCTAATCGTCCTCTGATATAAAAAAAACACCTAAAAAAAACAATTGCCGATGGAGACAGCTCGCACCTTTATTCAACTCTTAGTATAGGGAAAGTTATTCCATATTTTTGCATGCAGCCAGTTTTGTCACCCAATTTTTTCAGAATCACAAACCTCCCTATAACTTCACTCATATCCACCTATTTGTATAGAATAAACACCAAACTGAGGAGAAAGGAATGGTTCTTGCAATATACATACTATTTTATTATAGACAAGATAGATTTGCTGAACACGCAATCATCGGGATACGGGTAATGGGGATAGAGAGAGAAGAAGGAAGAAATGAACGATTATCTGGAAAGCATAATCAAACAGCCACTGGAACAATTAGTAAGGATATCTTGCGGGCTTTAGTGCTGAGAGGAACTGAACACTTATGGACCTGTTCGGTGCAATGACGTTGTTGCCCAGGACAAGTAACGAGTAACAAGTATATTTGCTGAGGGTTTGTTATAACAGTAAACAACAGACTGATGCTGTGCACCAGCTGAACTGGCTCACGGTGTACTCAGAGCTAAAAACATTAATTAATTGTATTATACGTGTCTGTTATTGCGTGCACACTTCCTTGTATCCTATACCCATCAACGCTGTTACGCAAGTCCTAAACAATGGACCATTCACAGTGCATTGGTAAATAAATGATTAATTACCTTGTATTATTTGCAGAAACGGTTTTGCAAGTGCATCCATACACATACCCATGAAATAGTATATTTTTTCGTTAGTGAATATTCTTTTCATAAATATGAATACATATGGTAACAAAAATTGTATTGTTATAGATAAATTAAAACAAGAGAGGTGGGGGCGAGTGGGAGAAGGAGGCAGAGGCTCCTGGAGAATACTGCAAAAATCTCTCCTACCATGAAATCGCCACGCACAAGATTTCTAAGTGTACGTTGGGTTGAAACAACAAGCAAAAGAAAGGTAATCATTAAAGTCTGTTGAGAAAAAGGTGACTCATTCAACTGCCCGGTTCTGCACAATCGCTCAACTATATATTATAGGCCGACTGCAATAGCTTTGGTGAGGAACGAGTTAAAAATAGAAGAAGTAAAACCAACAGCTGACGGGGTGCCACTTTTGCAATAGGTCACTTATACTTCACAAGCATATATGGGCTTTTTCGTACTTTTTTACCGGCTCTCTTTTACTGGTGACTGTATTATAACGCAGTTGCACACAAAAGACGGTCGTTCTATTCCTGAGGGAGGAAAAGTACCCCCCCCCCCAAAAAAAAATAGAACAAAACAATAAGGGGGCTGTTTTTAGTGTACTTTTGTTTTTCTATTGGAAAGCTGTATCCTTCTCGACCTGAGTTGGTTCTGACAAGCAGGATCGACGCGACCCACCTCCGGAATGATCTATGAAATTTCGGAGGTGGCGTAAATTATTTACTTGACAGTGGGACCTCTTTCTTCCCGTCAGTTTTATTACAAGTCCGACCAAGAAAGATAGACAGAACAAAGGAGTTTATTTATGTCACAGGGTTAGAGAAAACATTGAGATGAGTGAAAGAGCAGAACGCACGCACGCCGCTTATTGACTTCAGGTCATAATGATAATCAATAATAATATTATGTCATTATGCTGTTTGAAATAACAAGTTACATAAAGCTCTTGCTTCTCATGCTTTACGGGCTTAATCGCTGCTCGTAGATGCACCCTCCATTTGCATGAGTCCATATCACAGTAACCTTTTCCGAAGTGTAATTGTATTTATTGTGTTATCGGATATTTTTAAATTATTTTTTTTATTTGAAAAGTAGTTGTTTTGTGTTGGAAAATCGCAGCATAATATGATAAGAGAACACCCACAAACATAACAGGGCTCAAGACGTACAGTTGATTTCATCAAAGAAAGCACCAGTGGATGAATGAATGGATGGATGGATGAATGGGTGGGGGGTGGATGGAATTATTGAGTTGTTGGTTAATAGATAAGTGTATGGATGAATTAATAGATGCATAGATGGTTAGATAGATAAAGGAATAAATGGATGGTGTGTGAGGGGGTGAGTAGATGGATGGATGGGTCGATGGATTAGGGATTAGTTTGACAGATGGTTAAATGATTGAATGATAGATAGATAATATAAATATAGATAGGTATTTATAATATGAAAAGAAAGAAATGGAAATGCTGGATTGACAGACAAACTGATATGAGGAATATTTGTTTCTGAAAATGTAATCTTGGTGGGGGACTTGATTAAAAGATTAACGAGTTCACGGATGACTGAGTGAAAGGCTTGGCAGGAGGAATGGATCAGTGGGTGGGTAGGCAGAGGAAGTCATTGGTTATGAGTTCGTTCACGAGACGTAATGGCAATACGGTATGGGGCTGCATGATGGCGGGAAAGGTCCACCGTGAAAAGAATGAAATTATGTCTGACATGCTTCTCCTCTTACATCGTCGCGATAACAGCACGCGTGCAAGGAGCTCTGGTGCATGAACGAGGGAGACTCGTGTGTGACAAACAGCATCCCGGCGGCCGAGGGTACCGAGTGCCACATCTCCAGACAGAAGAAAGGGGTGAGTTTTGTGAGGTGTGGGAGTATGTATTAATTAGAATGGTTGGGAATGGTCATTTGTCGTCGTTCTAATCTTGGCTCGCGGTATGTGTTGTGCTTTTCAGTTTTGTTTGGTGTTTGTGTGTGTGTGTGTGTGTGTGTGTGTGTGTGTGTGTT